GAAGCTGGCGATGAGGCGCATCCTCTATCCAGGTTGAAGGTGGTTGCTGGATGTTGAATGAATAACCACAGTGGGGCCATGACCTACTCATTTCTTTCTAGCATTTAACACAGGGGCCTGGGATATAGCAGGTTCTCAGTAAATATTTACCAAACAGGGCCAAACTGGAACAGTGTACCTTGCTTAATTTGGAAAGAAATCAGGAGTTTTATGCATGAGTAAAATGATGGCTGAAAATAAATCTTATCTCAGCTCTAAATATGGATTCCATGCAGTGTCTGGATAGAGGTGATAAGACTTTCCACCTCTTTTCCCGTCCTATCCTGCGCAACGTTAAGTTTTCCCTCTCGGCTTTCGGTTACTCATCAAATTCCATTACGGTGAAGTGTTGTAAACAATAGTTAGTGTCAGGAAACTGTTTCTAACTCTTGATAAGTCCTTTGATGATCTCATGATGTTAAAATTTGCTACTATGAATAATTCAGTAAAACAAAGCTTTTCTTCTTTTTATATTCCTTGCCCATGGACTAGGCAGTTTATTATAGTATTTCTTTAAATATAAAATACCTGAGTATCTTTTAAAAAGTGCAAGGGATCTTGCCCAGTGAGAGAAGAAACTGCATTTCCTGGCCTTGGCTTTTAAGGGAAATTAGAAGCACCATCAGCTTTTGTTCGAAAAAAAAAAAAATCCTAAGGCGTGGGAAAAATAGATTCTCGCAGGAAAGGAAAGGTGTGGTAGAATTCTTTTTCTGTTACTTTTTAAAATCGAAAACACTTTTAGAAATGGCCACGTGGCCCGTGCCGGAAGTCTTGATGAATATTTTGTGTTATGAATGCATATTTTTAACTTCTTTTTTGAGAGGTATTACTTTTCTCTAGTGAAATTCTAATGCAGTGGGGGAAGGAATGAACCCCTGTGTGAAATTTGCTGTAGCAAGCACTTTGGCATCTGGCATGTGCTCATCCCTTGAGTTATATAATTATTGCTCGGGTATCTGGAAGTTTGTTGTGGAGAATATCTATGTGGGAGAGGAGGCCGGGATATTCTAAGTGCCTGTCGTGCCCACAGCCTTAACTGCAGCCCTTTGTCCCTGCTTCATCCATGTCCCCATCACTCTGGCCACAAGTGATTGAGCCAGGAATAAGTGTCAGGCCCTGTGGGATGGCAAGTGGCTATGAGATGGTCTGGCATTGCTCTGCCCAAAGGAATGGTCCATCATGGGTAGCCTGCTCAGATCCTCCTGTCTGGGAAGCTGGGACATCACAACAGCAGAGAGAATAGGCAGGCCGGGCAGACCATAGTGTGGGTAGAAGGGGAGAGACACCAGAGATGAGGAGAAAGCTTGAAAACCCATGAGTCAGCAGACCTTGGAGCAGAGAGAGGAGGAGAAAGAACCAGTTAGGAGAGAAAAAAGCAGAAAAAGCAGCAAGTTGAAAAAGAAGCCACCACCAAAACGTTGAGTTCCGTGTGGAACCAGAAGCAGAACTGTTGGGTCACAGATGGTAGATGGCTCTGTCTCACCTGTCCTGTGCCCTGGACGCCTCTGGACACTACTTCTTCCCAAGGCCTGGCTCAGCCCCAGGTAGAGGAATTCTCACACTCCTCTATATATTAGAGATATCTGGGATATATTATTGTTCAAAAACATTTGTGGCCTCTCCCCAAGGGAACCTTGACCATGTCGTTGCTTTGGTCAGTGGAATGAATGGACATGTCATTTCCAAACATGCGTTAACAGCCAGCACATGGTGCACCATATTCTTTTCATTTGCTGGGATGACCAGCGATATTTCAGAGAGAGAGGCTGCTCTGTCAGCCTGCGGCCCAGAGTCAAGGCCACACGGTGCAGAGAGCCACAGCTGGTTGAAATCTTCATGTAACACAAATGAGAAACCATTGATGATATAAGCTTCTTAGATTTGGGGGTTGTTTGTTATATAAACTGACTTTTTTTAAAAAAAAGCCCAATAACCAAGGTAACCTGAGCATCTTTCTATCCCCTGCGAACCAACGAACACAAGGTTGTAACCGGCCACACTTCAGTGTACTAATAACCTCACAGCCTTGCTGGGGTGGAACTACATGAGCTGCCTGAAGCAGAGTCATTGACTTTCCAATGCTCACTTTTCCTCTTCAGTCTTCCAGTCTGTCTCCTATACGTGCATCCAACATAAAAATTGGTACAAGATACTATCTGGCTTGAACCCTGGTTTCTGCCCTTTCTCTCTTTGGGGTTTGGGTCTTTTATGACATGTTCTCTGCCCCTGTATCTCCCCCACCCCACAATTTTATTATAAGCGTCTTAAGAATTGAAAGAACTTCAGGGTGGGTACCGGCATATTTACTGCCTAGATTCTGCAGTTACTGTTTTGCTTTGTTTGCTCCATCAAGTATCTGTCCACCAGTCTGTCAACTCATCCCCCTCTCCCCCTCCATCTTGTTTTTCCAGTCGCACTTCAGAGTAAGTTGAAGATTCATGATGCCCTGATGATGTTCGATCCCTTGACACTTAGTCGTTTTCCTTTTAATTCTGGATTTTTAAAAAATTGTTTTTTAACCTTGTGTAAGGTTGCCCCAACTTGGACATTTTCACCCTGTAACAATCACGAGCTCAGTATATTTGTCCACATTACACAAACCCTGGGTGCCCACACTTTCTTAATCTCGCTCTTTAATTTTGCTCTCTGTTACTTCCTCTCTTATCTCTTCACTCACCACAACTTTTCATTTGCTTTCCCTCCTCTCTTTCAGCTCCCAGCAGATAATTTTAAAACTAAACAACAGCTGAACAATATCCCCACTGTTCCGTGTGTCTGAGTATGCACAGCACGTCCACGCTTGCCCAGAACAGAAGGAAAACACAGTTTCTTCCATTTTATTTCTTTGCATCAAAAATGATTAAATCTGTCTGCATGACCTTCATACATCAGACCACTTGGCTATTTTAAAAGTCTATTTAATGGAGTAAATCAAGCTGCATTCCCCTCATAGAAGGAATCTTTACCACCAAACGGTGCAGTAAAGGCCAGGGGAACAATGTATCTTTTGTAGGGTGAGAGAGAGAGACACTGCCAGCCTACAATTGCTGGATTGTTTGAATTATTAGACGGCAAATCGTGCTAGATACATATTTGCATTGTTGCACAAGTATTTTCTTATTTTGGTTAAAGAAAGCTTTTCAAAGGGGATCCTACTTCTTGCAATGCAGACCCCATTACATGGTCTAGTACATTTAATTTTATTACCATGGCCAGCAGTGTTTCAATTTTTTATATAAAAGGCTATCAGCGGTGAAATAAAAGACTGCAAACAATCTCCAGAAACTCAGGCACCACCATATTTTATTTACTAACAGCCGTAATAAAGCTTTCAGTGAAAAATCGTAAGTAGCACTTTCCTTTTTGATGTGAATCAATTTCACGACAATCTTTTCAACTTTATCTAAGCTAATAAAGCTAATTTGGCTATTTCAAAATGAAGGGGGAAAAAGAAAATGAAGAAAAAATTTCATAATAAAATATTAGGGGTAAAAAGTGTAGAGAAATTGTCCAGAATTTATTAGCAATTCCTACTTAGAACTGTCAGAATTCTTGTACGTGAGTTCTTTCTTGCTTTTTTGCTTGAGAGTTGAATGGTGAACTCACTCATTCACTTATTCATCACTCATCGATCACCTACTTTGTGCAAGGCACTCAATGAAGCACTGGGACTATAAAGAAAAAGAAGACATGCCCTGTCCTCAGAGAGTTTATAGTCTGACCGGGTAGATGGATGTGTGGGCTGGCAGTGGTGGTGGACACGTGGGCTGCAGTTACATCGGAGGTGCTATGACAGAGAACTGGCAGTGGTCGGCGGGGAGTCTACTCTAAACTGAAGAGGGTAAGAATGCTCAGAAAGGCTTCCAGGAGGCATCTTGAAGGACAAATGGAGTTAGCCAATGGGAGGAGAAAGGAATAGCAGCGAAAACCCTTTCTGTTGCAAGCAATACACAACTCAGTGCAAACTGACTAAGTGAAGAGAAGGGACTGAATTGCCTCGTGTACCTGAAAGGTGCAAGGGGTTTTGGCTTCAGGTATAGCTGGATCCAGGGTCTAGTATAGTGTCACTAGGAATCTATCACTGGTGGTCTACCCAACAGCATCTCGTTTCTTCCTTACTAATAGAACCCCAAGTTTGTTCACTCTAATCGGAGTTGTTGTGTCCTTCAGGAGTGGCTGGGCTTAACTAATTATATTTGTAATGATCCTATTTCCAAATAAGGTCACATTCTGAAGATTGGAGGTTAGGATGTCAGTGTATGAATTTGGGGCAGCGGGGAGACACAGTTCAACCCCTAACACCCTGCCTGCCCTTTTCTCTTCCCTCTCGGACCTCCTGCTGGTACCTCTCAGTGACTGGACCCAACAAGAGAGTAAACGAGCCTGGCTGATGCGAACCATAAAGTCAGCCTCCTGAGGCACAGAGCAGGGTGGGGAAGGGTACAGCTGGAGGGGCATAGAGAGAATTTCCAGCAGAGTCTGCCTTGCCTTCATTCTTGAAAGGAATCTCTCCACATGGCAGACAATTGGTTCTTAGCCCCTGCTATCTTAAAAGGAGAGAGAGACACCTTTTATCTCCCAGTTTCTATAACAGTTTGCTACAAGGAGTTAACTGGTTCTGTCTGGGTTGCAAGGCGCTTTAAACGAGACTTAGAGGCAGGAGACCTGGTGTTCCACCCCATTGCTGCTATCAGTGCGCTCTCTCCCCTCTTATTCCAGGAAGGTTTTCCCTTATGGTTTACTGGCTGTCTGTCACCTAGGAACTGCATTCAATTGCATGTTATGAAAACTCAGGAGCGGTGGCAATAATACTGATGAAGTTTATTTTTCCTTACATACCAAGATACCCAGAGTAGGTCAGCCCCAAGCTGGTACAGTGGCTTAAGGAAGTCATCAAAGGCCCAAGTTCCTTCTAACCCCCTGCTTTTGGCCTCATGGTGATGGTGCTGCTCCACTTCCAGCCCCACGTCTGTCTTCCAGACTGAAAGAAGCAGAAGGAAACTTCAAGGAAGAAGGGGCACCAGAAATCAAGAAAGTAGAACTTTCTCGGAGATCTGTGGGACACGTCTGTTTCCGTCTCCTACAGCAGAACGGTGTCATATGGTTGTCCCTTGCTACATGGGAAATGTAGTTTTTTCCCCCTGGACTGATTGTCAATCCAATTTCCGTGAACAAGCATGGAGTGGAGAGTGGCTCTTGGGTGGGCAGCTGGCAGGGTCAGTGCACTGGCCAATGGCACCCTCGTGCTCGGTTTCCACATCTGAAAATGGCACCCAGACCTGAAGTCCTGCTGTTCTGAGGGTTTGAGTGGACTAGGGGGAAGCAATGAATATAGTTACTCAGAATCAAGTTTTAGATTTAAGTGAAATCCTTCTGAAACAAGTCCAAAATGCATGTAATAAGCCTTCTACTATGTGCACTGTCTTTTATTAGTCCTTGCTAAAGTAGTCAGAAAATATGCTTACCCAGAGAAACGTCTTCAGAATTCTTTATGTTGCCTGAGGTGTTGTTTGTTGATGTGTTTATGAACCCCATATTTGTTATGCATATTTCACCTAACACAAGCAATCAATTAACCCCTCTTCCTTTGTCCTATCCAAACATGTAGGCAAAGAATATCATTTAATTCTCTTTTCTCTCTTTAGAGGAAAAGAACCAGATTCATTGCCTGTGATTTTCTGACTGAATGGTTATACAAGTAAGTTTTTCATATTCACTGACCCTAAGGATTTCACAGTGTTAATATGCAAGCAGAATAGCAACAATTGACTTGACTTCTTGCTTATTGTTTTCTTGTCAATCAAACATATGGCATCGTGACCAGTCAGAATCCAAAGAAGATAGGGGAGCCATTCACAGAATTCTTCTCCATTCCATTTGTGGAAGAGTGGCTGAAGGATCAGTAAGTAATGACACAAGGCTTTGAATAATTTATTCCTAACTTTAAGAGTGTGTTAATGATCATCTCCTCTGATCTAAAAGAACTAACTCATGTAATTTACCCAGGACCCCAAGTTAGTTGTATCTGTGGCTCTTTCCTCTGGTTACTTTCATTCTAGGCTAAGGGCATCCTGTCCATGCAGTGACAATTCAAGAAGTACTTCATAAACAAAATAGACAACTTAAAAAAAATTCTTACCCTAAGGAATTCATCTCTCCATTCTCTCTCCCTCTTCTCCCCACCCCAAAGGTCATTATGTCTATTAAATATGACTAAACTTTTTTAAACGTCAATTTTTCATTATATGCATCAATTCTACATTTAAAATGTTAGAAATTAGTTGTTTAATTATATAAAATTAGGTTATATCATATAAAATTAGTAGTAGTAGTTTATTGTCAATATATAGCAATAATAATGATGACAACCAACATTTACTGAGCGCTTGTATCACTGGTCTCAGCACTTAAGGCTAATGAACTAACCTGATCCTCATAACAAAGGTATTACCAGCCCTATTTTACAGATGAGGGAATTTATGCATTATTCTGCAACCTGCTTTTATTTGACTCAAATACCTGCTTTTGAGATATACCCATATTGATTCAATTACATTTAATTCATGCCTTTGAATAGCTTTATAGCATATATCATTTCTAGATTTGCATAATTTATTCATTCATACAATAAATGTTTATTGAATACAACTATGTGCCAAATATCATTCTAAGTGCTGGAGACAGAGCAATGAACAATGTAGCCAAAAGCTCCTGCCTGAGTGGAGCTTGTATTCTGGTGGGGGGTGGTGACAGACAATAAGCAGATAAACAAGTGCTTTAGGGAAAAATAGAGCAGAGAGGGGAGAATATAGAGTATTGAGGGCACTTACTTTTATATAAGGTGGTCAGGAAAAACCTCAGTTGGAGGAAGACATTTAAGCAATGGTCCATTATTTTAAGCCACAGTTGGAAGAAATTTAGAGAAAATAATTTTTAATCTGTTTCTTTGAAAATGTTTTCACACCAGCCCTTTGCAAGAACCAGGTCAGGAAACTGAGGCACTAAGCAATAAAGCAAGGCTTATAGAACCCCATAATAAACAGAGTAGAAGCCATTCAATTGGACCCTTAGCCCTCAAATGTCATATCTTTTACTTAAATCTGCCCTTGGGAATGCCAAGTTGAACAGACTGTTGGCCGACTTCCTCAATTTTGAGATTTTTAAAGATTCCAGGTATTATCAGTTTTTAAAAGTATGAGACTAACTACACATTGAAAAGAGAACGATATTAGAAAACCTTGTTTCTTATTAAGCTTCTAAACCTGTGCCTAATGTTGTCCACTATGAAAATGAAAAGCCCATAATTTATTGACTGTAAATGATTAATAAATAAAAGACTTGCATATATTTTTCAAAGACAGGTTTTTTTTTTTTGGTATCATTCTCCAAGTTGAAAATGAAACATTTTCCCGCTTACAATGACCGATGAAAAAGAATCTTAAAAATAAGAGAATTTCTCTAAGTAAGAGGTCTCTCAAATCCCTAGTCATTTACTGTACAAATACCTAAGTTTAAAATGGTTGCTAACTTCCACTGGCAGCTCATATAAATATACTGCAAAGTAGCCATAGCATCATTTCAGCCAGACTTGACGAGGACAAAAACCCAAGAGCGCTTGCTTTAACCCGCATTTGTGTTCCTGGCTTCCATTATCTTTCAAAGAGATGCTCAGAGCATGATAGAATTCTAAACGATACTCATCTAATTTAATGCAAGAAATTTTTATTGAAAACTTACCAAATCCAATGCAAAGAGCTTTGTTGCGGTGGAGACAACAAAGATGAATAAAATATGGCTCCGGCCCTTGGGGGTGAGAGAGGTGTGTTTATAACTAGCTGTAGTTTCTGTAGTGTGTGTTGTAAAACAGCTGTTAACCGAGCATTAAAGGGAAATAGGGACACACGAGATCCTCTGTGCCCCCACCCCTGTCACCCTGCAGCAGGCCTGGAGCCAGCCCAGTTAGGCCAGTGGCCAAGCTGCTTGGTGCCC